TTTCTAGGACGGTTTGTTTTTGCAGGGGGAGCTTCACTCGGAGTGCCGGCTCTGAGCTCGATGCCAAGTACTTCTCAACAGTCCCCACTACCCCACAAGGTCAGGGGCACTCTCCTCACTGCACAAGGAGGTAAACCAAGGCTCACAAAGTCAGGTGTCGTCCCCAAGGCCTCCCCACTGGGAAGCTTGTGGGCCCGGGGTCCAAACGCCACAGGGACCCCTGCTCTGGGGCATCTGTGTGCGCCGGGCAGGGTGTGCAGCCCGGCCACAAGGTTCCTGAACATCCCTGGCCGGCACCACGGGCAGCTTCCGCCACGCCGCTCAGCCTGGACGCCCGAACCTCAGCAGACCAGGTCAAGTGCGGTCTCCTCAAAGAGGTGACCTGGAGCTCCGTGTCATCACTCTGGGGATCACCCAGCTTCAGCCTACAGCTGGCCCAAGCCACAGGCCCCAAGAGAGGCCTATGGCCACGCACAGGGCCACAAGCCCGAGCCATCCTGGAAGGTGAGTGGCAGGCACAGGGCCAGCCCAGGACCGCAGGATGGCCTCTCCCTCCACTCCCTCACCTCCTCCATGAAGAGCTGGCTCTCACACCCTCATGTGGTCTGTGCTGCTCGCTGCGGTGCCTCCAGGCTGGAAGCAGGACACGCACTAGGCCAGCCCCGCTGCACCCCTCCCGCAGACCCGTCATCTGGAATCCTCCGGAACACCGCCCTGCCCACTGAACAATCCTTTTCCTCCCCACCATCACGTTCTGGCTGACAGCCTGCCCGCAAAGCCTGCACGCCTGAGGAAGCCCGCAGCCGCGACCTGGAAACACACCGGCAGTGGGGGAGATACTGGAACAGGGTCCTCGTTCTGGGGCCCAAGTTCCTTGGCAATCAGGCCCTTGTTAGGCTTGGCCCAGTGCCAGGCGCCAGGACCTCCAAGGAGGCCCCAACAGGCACATGCTGGGCAACGGGAACAAGCCACAGGCTCCCAGCGTGCCCACAGCAGCCACCCTCAGCTCAGGACACTGACCGGTCACCACTGAGCACGCTGGCCTCACCCACACCGCACCCCACCGCTGCACAGGAAGGCAGGGGAGGAGGCCCAGCTGCACGGGCTTCTCACACCAGAACAGTGAGCTGTACTGCACGTGAGACTCCGCTTGGGAAAGCAAGCTCTTCTTTGATGTCCATCCAACTGATTTCATATTTCAGCTCCCCGAGCAAATTTAAGCAACAAAGGCACTTACAAATAAAAATAACAACGCAGGATGACCACCCGCCAAACTGAGTCCTATGTGAGGTACTCCAGAGAGCGAGCACAGCCCCCTCCACGTGTGCCCCTGCCCCCCATCAACCGGCTCCTGGACACTCCGAAGGCAGACAAGGCCGCAGTCTGAAGCTGCCCAGCACCTCGAGCTGGGTCCCTGGCCTGTCTGTGAAGGGCAATGGGGCACCTGCGGCCAGGTATGCTGCTCCATGCCTGGCCTGGCGCAGGTGGGGCCCCGGGGCCACAGGAGAGGCCGCTGGGCCATGGTGAAGGCAGGCAGCCGCCGGTATCCTCGGAGCATAGCGAGGAGACCGGGCGCCCACACACTGGCACGCAGCGAGCCGCCCAGGGCACAGGCAGGTGAGCGGCGCGCAACGTCTGGCTGCAGCAGGCAAGTCAGGAACGCAGCAGCCCCATGACCCCACAGAGGGGGTGCAGGAGGTCAGACGTCATCTGGCCTTGTGGTCCCGGTTTACAAGCACCCTCCCCAGCCTGAAGCCCAGGCCTGCCCCTTGGGAGCCCAGCCCCCTCTGGGCAAGGCAGAACAGCCCGAAAGCTTCATGCCAGCACCTGCGGGGTGTCAGAACCGGTCCCCGGCTGGCGGGGCTCCACCCCGAAGTAGATCTTTAGGATTCCCCCAAGCCTACAAGGGCCCTGCCAGTGCTCCAAGCAGAGGATCAAGGGTCAGCACCCCCAGGAGGCAGAATGACCCCCACACTGGGTGTGCCTAGACACTGGCACAGGAAACGTGGTTCCAAGTAGGGACCCCGCCCCCCCGCGGGAGGCAGTGCCCAGCCCCACAAGAGCTGCTCCCAAAGCCTTCTGCAGGGAGCACCCCATCTCCCCCTGAAGGCAGGGGGCCACAGGCAGGAGCGGGCAGCATCCCAGAGGGGGCTGTAGAGGCTCCCTCCGAGACCCTGAGGAAGTCACCAGAGGAACTGGTGACCCAGGGAAGGCCACCAGCCCGCCTCTGACAGGACTTCAGCCAGATCTGGGCTGGCTGTGTTGTCTCTCCTCGGGGACATACGCCAGCTCAGAGGTGGCAGCAGGTAAGAAGGTGCCCTGCGCCGCCCAGGACAGCGTCAGTGGTCGAGACCCGTCCCTGCCGCCAGGCAGCCCGGGGCAGGGTCTGTGCAGGAGCAGAGCTGCCACGGCCCCGCCCTGCGGACGTGGGAAACAGGAGCGGTGCGTGCGCGCTTCCTCGGCTGCTGTCACTGCGAGCTCTGGGGCCAGAACGAAAGTTCATTCAAAGGAAGGGAGAGGGAGGTAATACCGTAAGATGGCTTCCCCCACAACTCGGCGTCAGCTCTGGCCGTCTGGGGAATGCAGGAGGTGAGGTCTCTTGCTGCCCTTTGCTGCGAGAAGAACTCACACTGCTGCAAAGCCCTTTCAACACTAATTCATGGGAAGAGATCAGACGTCGTGGGGATCTCACATCCTTGAGGCCAGACTCACTAGGTCTATACATGCGGCCTCCCCCCACCTCAGGCGGGGCACCCGGGAGAAGAGTGGCCGTCTGGCCGAGGCCAGCAGGCGCAGAGACCCCCAGCCTCCCCCGGAAAGGAGAGGGAAGAAGACTTCAGAGAGACAGCTTTGGGCCATTCCAAAGCAGCCAACCAAGGCACTTCTAGGGGCTGAGGAAGGGGGGTCGGGGGACGGGAGGACTCCCGTGGAGCTCCCTCTGATGAAGGCAACACCCCCAGTGACCCACCCTCCACTGACACACCTGACACCCAACAATCCTGGGGACTGGCTGGGGGGGAACACCTCCACATTGGGCACTAGGAAACCCCCTCCCCAGGCACAAAGCCAACACGCCACCTGTTGCCCTCCCTTGGTGCACGGTGGTCTCAGAGGCCCAACCCAGCGCCCTGCTCCCCATGCTCACCTCCTCTACTAAGGGCACCCTCACAGGGCAGATGGCTTCCTCCCGTGATGCTACAATCCCCTCACCCTCCCACCATCTTCGTCTATGTCAGCAATGGTGACCTTGGGGGTCCTCAGCAATAAACACACTAAACAACAGCAGGTTCTCGGCAGCCGCCCGGCTGCTCCAGGTCACCTGGTGCAGAACCCCCTCCGGCCTGCCCAGCAGAAGCAGCTAACCCCAGAGGCGGCCCTCTTGCTGGGGGAAGCACAGGGACGGCTGCCTGCCGACAGGGGCTCCCCGTAACCCCCTGCTCAAGAACTGCCCCCAGACAGATGAGAAGCCCTCTCCAGCCTCCCCACCGCCACCCGGAGTCCAGGCTGGACAGCAGCCAGGCTCCAGGCCTGAGCTCTGCTCAGGAAGCCAGAGGCAGAGCCGCCTGCCTTGCCTTACAGGGAGCGAGAACCTCCTGAGGGTCACGTGCGCCCGCAGTGCCTCATCCCTGCTGAGGCCGACCTCCGCTCCCGCCAGCGCCCCGCACAGGCCCGCCGTGGCAGAGCACCAGCAGGTGCCCATGCTGCCACACGGGGTCACCTGGCCAGAGGGAGAAGGGGGGACATCAAGACGCAAGGCCACGCTCTAAACCCCGGGCTCCCCTGCCCCCTCCACAGTCCTCCCTTTCGAATCTCCCCAGGCCTCTTACGCAGCAGCAACATCCGTCTCACTCCCTGCCGTCCTTGGCACACCAGGGCCCCAGACCGCAGGCCACCAAGGCCACCCCTCGGCAGGGCCCAGAACCTACAGCCACGATGGAGGAGAGCTCAGTTCCTCCCGAAGGACTCCACGGGGCACCAGCAGCCCTGCCGGGAAATCCCCACGTGTCCACTGCAAAACCAAGGGGCTGCGGGAAGGGGTGCCTCTGGAGCTCCTTGTCTTGGGAAAAAGGCTGAAGACAGATCGACACCCCCGAAATTAGCGGGGCTCACCCTCATGCAGGCCCCACTGCAGGGGCTCAGTGAACAGAGCGACCACATCCAGATTCTGAGCCAAAAAGGCAGGCGGCCTGCAGTGTGGCAGGCGGCCCCGTGGCAGGCCTGGAAGGCTGACTTTACAGGGTGCCAGGGTCAGCTTACACCCGAGCAGCGGCTCTTGCCCAGGACGGTCCCCTGCGGGACAGCTGCTCCCCCCCCTACAAGGAGGGAGGGCCTGTAAACACCCACTCTGACAGGCACTGCCCTGGCTTCCAAGGCTGGCCCGGGGCAGCTCGGGTTACCGTTTATATAATCTTCTAGGGCCGGGGCTGACACAGCCAACGTGAGGGCAAGGTTATGAAAAATGCATGCCCAGAACCTTTGCAAAGGGGGTGGGGGGGGGACCTTACCCGCACCCCGCATGACTGGATCTTCAGTCCTCTCCCCCATCCATTTCGTGAGCCGGTGGGCCCTGGGAGCTGCAGGAAGGCACTGACCACTTCCAGGCCTGGGGCACATGCATGCAGAGGCAGCCCCCAAGCATCCCCACCTGGGGCGCCTATCCCTTTATCGACTCTGGGCCGTGCTCACTTAAGAGTAGCTCCAACACGGGGCCCCCACAGTCCTCATACGCTGCGGCTGCTGCTGCAAAGAGGCCACCGCTGAGGCCACCCGGGTGCTTAAAGCCCCGCATTGGGCGTCAGCAAAGAGCCAGACGGACAGACACGCCCTCCATGCCCACCCTCCCGCGCGGACCCACACAGTGCCACACTTCACCGCCACACGCTGGGAGGTCCGCCCTCCAGCAGGCAACCTGCCCCCCAGATGGTGCGCACAGCGGGGGCCACACGCGGCTGCCCCCGCGGCCGGACCGCCCGCCGCCCACCTGCGGCCGGCGCCCTCACCTGCAGCTCGCACCAGGCCACCTCCACCCAGGTCTCCGTGTCCAGCCCCTTGTAGACCGTCTTGAACGAGCCGCGGCCCAGCTCGATGTCGAACTTGAGGAAGCGGCCGTCCAGGGAGGTGGCCACGGCCTTGAGGTCCTCGTCGTCCTCCTCCTCCTCGGGCTCCCCCCGGCGGGCGCGCCCCGGCTCGGGCCTCGCCTCGGGCGCCGCCGCCGCCGCCGCCGCCTCGTCCTCGCGGGGGTCTCCGGGGGCCGCGGGGTCGGGGCCGGGCTCCTGCGCGCCCGCAGGCTCGGGGCCGGGGGCGGCGGGGCTGCCGGGCGGCGGGGCGGCGGCGGGGGCCGCAGGGGCGGCGGGGCGGCCGCGGGCGCGCTCGGCGATGAGGCGGCGCGTCTTGCAGAGCAGCAGCACCCGGCGCTGCAGCGGCTGCGGGGGCTGCGCGCCCGGCGCCTCGGCCGCCTCCAGGCCCGGCGGCTCCTCCTGGTCCGACTCCACCACGCTGCGCCGCAGGAAGCGCTGGGGCCCGGGCCGCGCCGCCCGCGCCCTCGGCCCCGCCGCCGGCTCCGCCATGCCCGCGGGCCCCGCGCCGCGCCCGGCCTCCGTCAGCGCGCGGGGCCCGTCCCGGCGGCCGCCATCGCCGTCCATCTCTGCGGGCAAGGACACCCGGCCCGCGTGAGCGCCTGTCCGCCGCACCTGCCCGCGCCCGCCGCGGAGGGCTCTGCCCGCCGGACCCCGAGGCCCGCGTTTGGGGGGGGGAGGGGGGAGCGCGCCTGCCGGGCCGCCCCTGGGGGGCCCCGGGCGGGCTGCGGAGGAGGCCGGGGGAGGGGCGCGCCGGGCCGTGCCGGGGGGCCGCCGGGGCTAGGCTTGCAGATGGGACCGGCAGGCCGGAGACAGAGAGGCACCGGCCGGGCGGCGGCTCCACAAAGGACGCGGCCCGGGGCGCAGGAGGGGCGCGCGGGGAGGGGGCCGCGGCGGCGCGGCGCGCACACAAAGGCGGCGGGCGGGGGGCTCGGCACTCACAGGGCGAGCGGGCGCCGTCCATGCCCGCGGCCCGGCGGCCGGGGCGGACGAGGCGGGCGAGGCCGCGCTCCGCGGCCGGGGTCCTCGTGGGGGCCGGGGGTGGGGGCCGAGTCGCGCTGGACGCCGGGGTCCTCGCTCGCGGCCGCGTCTCGGCGCCGCTCTCTCGGCCGGCCCGCTGCGGGGCCGCGCTCCCGCGTGCTGCTCCGGCTCGGCTCGGCGGCGCTCGGGCACCGGCTCCGACCCGGCGCGCGGGGAGGGCGGGGCCTCGGCTGCCCGCCCCCGGCCGGCGCGCGGGGGGCGGGGCCTGGCACGCCCACCTGGCCGCGTGCGCGCGCGGCCACCTGCGGGCCGGCTCGCGGCGGCGGCGCTCCCGGCCCCGCGCAGCCCCGGGCTCCGAAGGACCCTCCGGCAGCTGGCGGCGGAGGGTCCCGCGTGGCCCCCAGGGGAGACCCAGACTCACCCCTCACCTGCCCCGGCAGGCGCGCCGGCCCTCGCAGCCCTGAGCCGGGGCGGGATGGGCAGGCCAGAAGGTGGTCCCCCCCCCCCTGCTCAGGAAGCGGCCTGGGCCCACCGCACCCCCAGGCCCGCGCCTAGGGCCTTTCCCCCTCGCACTTCGGTGGGGTCGGTCAGGAGCGCAGCTGTGGTGATCACGCCCACTCTTGCCCCTGAGCGAGCCGGGGCCCTGAGGTAGAAGTTGCCTGCTCTGAGCCCCAGAGCTCGCAGGACAGACCAGTGCACAGCGCCTTGCAGAGGCCTCCAGGCGCCCCTCCGCCCGCACGGTGCTTTGTCCCCCACCTGTGTTTAATGCCACCCCCTCCCAGCCTTACCTGATGTCTCCCTCCCTCTTCCTGCTCTGGACTCCCACAGACAAGACCTTCTCCAGGGCATCCTGGACCCTCCTGCAGAGAGGCGGCTTCTGGCAAAAGAATACCCTGGCAGGTACCCCATGCGAGGCCCTCGTGACCCAGCGACTGAGATGTGGGAGCGAGGGCTCGGCAGGCAGCTGTTCCCGCGGTGGCGCTGCCCCTGGCCTCGAGGACCTCAGATGGGAGGGGCGTCTGTGGGCTCCATGCCCCGGGGACAGATAACTCACGTGACACCAAAGCATCACAGTCAGAGGGGAGGTTTGCCACCCCCTGTTACCCAGAGCAGCAGGACACCCCAACTCCGGGAGCCGGTGGAGCCCCGTCACCAGGGCGGACATCCCTCCCGGCTCTGTTCAGTGGCACCCAGTGGTGCTGGGAGAATGTGCACCAGGGAAACAGGCAGAGGCCACAGGTCAGGGCCCCTCCGCCCCAGAGGGTGGGTCCGCAGGGTGCTGGCACTGGGTTGGACGTTGGGCACGTGCCTACTGAATACGCTCTCCAGTCATCACACCTGCCTTGTGTCCGGCCCAGAGCCCAGACCAGCTCAGCCCCCCTGAGACCCTCTGAAGCAGGGATCTGAGCAGGACTTCCTGGTGGAGGGTGGGGGAGCCTGCCAGGTCGCAGGGGGCTGGTGAGGACCTTTCTGCCTGGAGGCTAGAGACCCCTCCCCCTGCCCTGCCATTGGTACGATGTCGGGAGAGTCCTACCATAGCAACACCTCAGTATCCCCTGCAGGGCCAGCCTGGCCACCCTGGTGTGTCCACCTCAAAAGACTGCCGGTTCCTCCAAGACATGGTGAGTCTTGGAGGGCACCCAGAGTCCCAAGCCTGTCCATGCTGCCACACCAGGCTTGTCCAAGGGAAAATTGACGCGGGGTCAAGCTAAGCATGTTCTGGACAGCCTGCAGGCAGTCTGGCCTCCTCCCTGCCTCCTGGGCTACACTGGCAGTGAATAGGCATCATGCTTGTCTGCTGATGGAAGAGATGGCTGGACATTCACAGCGTCACCTGCAGGTTCTGCCCATCCCCCGCTGGCTGGTGGGTGTGGTATGGCAGCCATGCCCCCTCATGGCAGGGGCAGCCCAGGCCACAGGGGAGTCGGAAGAACCTGTCCCTGACTGAGTACTACATGCTCTCTGAGCCCTTAGGGGTGGTTTCAGGCAGTCATGCTTACATGCCTCCAGTGACAGAGAGCTCACTCCCTCTGCCGACCCATGACTAATGGGGTCCATGGCTAAGCAGCTTAGAGACAGGTCACAGTCCTCTTCTGCAAGGACCTCACGCTGGTCTCAGGAGCAGGTCCTGGGATCAGGAAGGGAGAGCCTGAAGGATCCTTGGACAGATCTAGGGACCAGGGCTCGGCCAGGGCCATGGTTGTCCTGAGGCTCCCACAAGGCAGAGCTGTGGAAGGACACTGTGCCAAGCGCCTGCCTGACCCAGGCTGGCAGGTCTCTGCTGCGGAGCCGCTGTCCCCACGGCTGTCAGACCAAGGGTGTGACTACCTCCTCATCACAGATGAGTATTTTGAGGCCCAGTACAGAGACTTTTCTCCCCACATAAGTGGTTTGCTCAAGGCCACAGAGCAGGAGCCAGTGCCCCTCTCCTCCAGGGCTGTCACCTTGGCTCCCCAAGACCCCAGTGCCTGGTGCCCCAGCCTGGCAGGGCCGGTGGGCGTCTGCAGGCACGCTGCTGCAGGCTTGCTTCCCCAGCCGGGACCCAGGCAGGCGCGCGGCCGTGTCATCAAGCCGCTCCTCTGGAGAGGGTGGCGTGGTGGTGGTCCAGGGCTTCTGCATAGTCTGGAGGGGGCGCAGCGCCTGCAGGCTCACTTCCAGGGAGGGCAAGAAGGGTCCCAGGTGCCAGGTAATCTGGGGTGGGTCTGCCTCTGAGTGGACTCCAGCAGCCTGGGGCTGTAGCTGATCTTGTGGTCAGATACCCCCCAGGCCACAGCACAGGAGGGTGGCCCCTCACCAGCAGGGGCGCCTCCACACATCACTGACTTAGTGGCTCCCTGGACAACTATGTGGGGCCTGTCCCGGGTGCAGCTGAGGCCTCAGGTCCTATAGGGGTGGAGGCAGAGTGGGGAGATGGGTCAGGGGGACCAGGGTGGGAGGTCATAGGAGGCGACGAGGCAGGGCGGACCTGTTGGGACCTAACGGAAGGGTACTTGGGGTAGGCAGGTGGGAGGGGGTCGTGTGGGCCTCTGAAACTCAGGTTCCTGGTCCCTGAGAGGTACACGTGGCTGGGAGAGCAGATGGTGGGGGCCCTCGGCCCGGCCCCTGGGGAAAGCCTCCCCACTCGATGGGGGCTGTGAAGCTCTGTAACATCATCTTTGTTTTTCTTCTTTTATAATTAATACAATTATATAACATTTCCTTTACTCCTCAGTTTAAAAACAGTTTTTTATTTAGGGGGTGCCTGGATGGCTCAGTCAATTAAGCGTTCGAATTCAGCTCAGGTCATGATCTTGTGGTTTGTGAGTTTGAGCCTTATGTCAGGTTAGAGCCTGCTTCGGATTCTGTATCTCCCTCTCTCTCTGCCCTTCCCCCACTCATGCTCTGTCTCTCTCTCTCCAAAATAAACATTAAAAAAAATTTTTTTTTAATGAAAAAATCCGAATCCGAAGCAGGCTCCAGGCTTTGAGCTTGAGGGACAGAGCCTGACGGGGGGCTCGAACCCATTGACGGCAAGATCATGACCTGAGCTGAAGTCAGAAACTCAACTCAGGCGACCCCAAAAAAATTTGTAATAAATAAATAAAATGTAATTGGAGTTTTTGTTAATAATAGCTTCATTGGTATATAATTCAGATTCCATAAAAGTTGCTCTAATTTTAAAGCATATAACTCAGTAGTGTTCAGTACATTCAGATGCAGTACCCACCACCACTGGCTTGTTCCCGAACATCCTCTTCACTCCAGAAAAGACTCATTCATCAGCAGTTGCTCCGGCCCCTGTCCCTCAGCTGCCCGTGGAGTCACCTGCTGGGGACTTAGCAAAGTCTCACAGCACCACGCTCCCTGGTCTGGTTCCTCTCGCTCAGAGCGCCTCACTCCACACGGGTCGTGGGTACATCAATGCTTTGCTCCCTTCGTGGCCAAATAACATTCCATTGTACGTTACACATGTTGATTTTTTAAGAGCACATAGTCATTACAGAGAATTTGCAAGACAGAGAAAGTAGAAACAGAAAAATTTAAGCTGTCCTGTGTCGCGACCAAATGTGACTCTCTCGGTCCCCCACGGTGGTCCACGCAGGAGATGCTCGGCATACGCCCAGCGCGTTGGAACTTCCTCTTCTATGCGAAGAGTCCACACGCAAGGCTGTGTGTTCCGTGTAGTTTGGGCTGGAGAACAAGACGGGCTCAGGCGGCCTGGGTCACACAGGCATTGGACACACACCCGCCTGTGACCTGTCAGCAGCTCGGTCCTCGGGGCCCTGGACTCAGGTTCCACTGGCCCTGCTGCTGGGCTCCTGCACCCCCCGCCCCCGCCCTGCCCGAGGGGCTCACCGTCCTCTTCACGCAGGTGTTAGGGGTGCAAGTGCGGGCAGGAGACAGGGGTTCCCGGGCAGCAGCCCCTGGGCGGGGTCACAGCAGGCTCTCCATCAGGCTTCTTCGGCCCCCAGAGCTGGTCACACCCCTCCTCCCCCTCCAAGGGGGCAGCCAGCACCCCCGCTGCCCGGGGCCCCTGCAGCTCCACAGCCTCCTCCGCCCCCGGCCCTGTGGGGCCCCGTGGGGCTCTGGGCACCCGAACCCGGCAGGGAGTCCCCTCCTTTGGAAGCATCTCCCATGGGTTGTCTTTGGAATCCTTTGGACAACCGACGCAATGGAGTGGCCGCCGCTGTGGGTCCTGGGGCACAAAGGTGCTCCCCGAGGGATTGTTATAAGAGGCGTTGTGAACGTGTAAACGTTCAACAGCTGTAAACGGTCAGGTAAGCTGGACTCGTTCAGCTGTGATGAAGCCACTTAAATACTCCATCCGCAGAGTGTTATGACCCCGTAGTGAGGGAGGTCACGCCCAGTGATGCTCCCCCTATCACCTGAGCCTTGGGGAAAGGTCCACGGACAGAGGCCATGCCCCGAGGAGAGCCTGGAGCTGCCCCCGGCCATGACCTTCTGCCCCTCCTCAGCTGATTGCTCTGAACTGCAGATCCCGTGTTAGCGCTTCCGGGGGCTGGGCGGGGGCTGCTCAAGGCATCGCGGAAGGTCTGAAAGTCAAGGCTCTCCAACACCTGGCCAGCTCCTGCCTGCCTGTCTGTGTCCTTGCCTGTGAGACCTTCCAGAGACAGGAGGCAGGTGACCCTGATTCAGGACAGACACCCCGTTCACTTTTCCACAGAGATTC